CTGATTAGGATCACGAGCAAGGCAATGGAATTTCGCTCGCTCAGCTGCTTCGAAGTTGACAGGCTGGAAATGTTTTAGTAGCAAATCCTTCAGTTCTTTATACTTCAGTTGTATTGGTGACTCTGGGAATGCCACATTTTTAATCAGCTCATAAGCTTTCTTTCCAACAGCTAAGAGAAAATGTGCCGTCTTCTTATCGGCATCCAGACTCTTGCGGGTGAGACACCAAATCTCAAAAAGCTCTAGAAAATATTCCAGATAACGTGGATTCGAATGAATACCAAGAATTTCCAAGTTGCAGGTGTACATGAGGGGATAAAAACCGGCCGCGACACCAACTGTGGTACTCTGTACTTGGTATCAGGAATCGAAATGTAATAATCCGCGTAATTAAGCTCCAACCGAACTAGTACACAGTACGAAATAGAACACCAGAATACTCGAAGTCGGATTGTATTACGCGCCGAAATTGTATAAAGCAATCGATCATGTAATGAAACAAGAATGTTCAGTTTATACGCAATCACCACAAGATCCCAACGAAAAGCAAGTCAAATTGATGAGGCACTGTTGAGGGAGGAAAGTTGTGGTGATCGTGTAACGAGTACGCGCGCACCGCAGTACAGTTTCCAGGTAACCAGTCAAGAAGCGGGATAACCGACCAACCCTGTAGTCTCAATTGGCACCATCCGGATTGGCTGAGTGCAAGAAGGCAAACAGATAAACCATATCCTTGTCGATTGGACATTCAAGAATCGACCAATGATTGTTTGTTGCTTGTAATATATATTTCCATGATTTTCTGAATAGAACTAACTGTATCCACAGCTCGTCTTGGTTCTACCTGACTTTGCGCTATTCAGTGCGTATGCAGTCCGATACCGAGTTCGCGCTATTCGATTCCGATTCCTATTCCGAATACTACAATTGGCGTCGCGGCATGGAGTTGCGCACTATCGAATCCCTGAATCTACATTCACATCCGTCTGAGATTGAAGAATGGGTCGAACGTTTCGAGCTCTGGTGCAGCCCACGGCAGAACGGAAAACAGGATCAATCCGTACTATTTCTCACGGTGGGTGGAAAGGAGATGTATTCTTTGCTGAAGAATCTCGCTTTCCCCGACAATCCGGCCAAGTTACCATTCCCGATACTGAAACAACTGCTTCTTGCCCACGTGATTCCTGTTGATTTCCAAGCTACTGAGAGGGCAAAATTCAATTGGTTGGTTCGTGCCGAGTCAATGCCCTGTGGANTGTTGCTCAACAAACAGGCTTCCAAGTGTAACTATGGAGACAGACTGGAGGAGCAATTGTGTGCTCACCTTATTGCAGGCATTAACAATATGAATCTGCAGAGAAAGTTGCTGAAAAAGAAGGATCTAACATTTTCCGAGGCTAGGAGGATATGTGATCGGTATGATTATCTCACTGCAGCAACAACCTGTGAGTCGTCTACGTTATTCCAGAGTAGTTCACGAAGCAATAAACCCGGGATGCAGTCCAAATCTCCTCACAAGCAGACGACCAATTACTCTGACCAGAGGACCCCAACCACGAATATCAATCGGTGTATGTCGTGTGGCCAATTCCATGTATGCTCCAACTGTCGATCCAGAGATACGAAGTGTCATTCCTGTGGTAAAACTGGTCATATTGAGAAGGTATATCGCCAAAGGAAATGCAATGTGATGAGTACAGCGTACTGTCAAGAAGAAGTCAACTCAATTTATACATTAAGAACAATGGGCAAATACAAGCAATTATTTTACAAGGATATTTTTTTGAATCAGGAATTCGACACAGTTTTATTGTGGATATCGGCAGCGGTGTGTCCATCATTTCAAATTGACTTTGCGCTATTCAGTGGGTTTTCAGTCCGATTCCGTGTTCATGCTATTCGATTTTGATTACTATTCCGAATAATATGCTCACTCCCGGTTTTGTGCTGACTGCGAGTAAGTTCACTAATTTTTGAAGCATTTTATGTTATATGACTGGGGAATACTGTAACGATTGTAGTAGTAGTAGTGGTAATACGCACGGAATTCGGTACACCAACCACGCAATAGGAATCACAGGACCCGAATCAATAATCGGTTATCACGATTGGACCGCAGAAGCAATGTCCCACGAGAACGAGACGCGAGGAAAAGGCCAGAGGACAGGCAGAAAGTAGCTTGTGTTTGGAAGAAATAAAGGTGATTAAATAATATGTACAAAAGATTATTGGCTATCTGGGCATCCACCAATTGGATTGCAGCACTGCTTGTGTAATCTTGCTTCTGTCTGCATTGTCTTGGATTCGCTGGCACCATCCACCAATGACACGTATTCAGAAGTTATGCACGTGCTATTGACGTCAACATTCAAACTTGATTGATCGCCAATGTCCTGAAACTGTAACGCACCGCTCCAGGGTAGGCGCCATCGTGTAGGCCTGGATCACCACAAATACCCACGTCTTTATTTCACGCTTATTGTGTTTTGGCATTGTTTTCTATCCTAACTGCTCCCTAATTCCAGGAGTTGCCAATCGTTGTCAGCCTGGGTTGCAATGAACGGCTGCAAGCCATCCATGATGGGCGAAATGGCCCAGGAACGCGTCGCTCCGTGGCTGGCGTTATCCCGTAGACAAGGATCACCTGACATTCGCTGACAGACTGTTATCGCGTTTTGTTTCAACTTTAAGGTTTCTTTCCTAGTTATTATTGCTTTCTTATCATGTCAACTTGTTAATGAAATCTCTGTCCGTATTTCTGTTTGCTTGTTATCCTAAAATTTAGTCCATCAACTAGTTAATCAACTTGTGGTATGCCCATTTGCCGGACACCATTTTTCCTCTACAATCTAAATGTATGCTCACATTTTTACTTCAATACCAACGCCATGTGACACTTGTTTTATACGATCGATAAATGCTACATACTTCCGCGAGAGAAATTTCAGTTTTCGCTTCCGATCCGTTTTGCTCGCTATCGCGCTCGTTGGTTCTCGTACCTTCGTGCTTTAACAAAAACTCTCGTTAGCCGATACCGGTACGTTCTCTGTGCCACGGTACCTCAATAAAAGCCTACGACAACCACAAGTCTACTGGTTTAACCAGCGGTAACTTGGTTGTTTTGCGAGCCCAGGGTCCCGTTCTAAAGTGCGTCACGGCCGGTCGTAGTCGACTTTTTTTTCCATACTACATGCATCCACATCACTGTCACCAATGAGCGCAACTCTTGCCGATCGTGATTTATGTAGAGCAAAAGTGATGGAGTCATGGAGGCTTTGGAACAGACCGATGAAATCGATGACAGCGAATCGGTGTGTTCGACCGAGGTACTGCTCACATTTTTGAGTCGTGTGTTTGGTACGCACAGTAGGTAGATTCTCAAGGAATAGGCGATGAGATTTTCGAGCTGTGAGGTAACTGGTCAAGCGCGTTTTACGAAATAACTAATCACTGCGTGCAGATTAGACATTTCGTTCTCTACAATCCCATTTATTTCTCACCATGTTTTTGCTGTTGCAATAAACAGTGCTCATCAGGCGGGCACTGGTCGCGTAGGATCATAACACTACGACTGATGTTTGCCCAGAGTTTGAATGCATTCAGAAAATCATGAAGATTGTGGTACGAATTCTCTTATCACGGTTTGTTCAATGCATAGTTTGAACCCGGACTAGTAAGCTGTATAGTTATATTAATTTGAAACACCTCGAGTGATCACAATTTTCACATTCACACACATACTTCACATCTGTTCAGCTGTATATGTTCTTCTTGTTCGGCAATTGCAAGCTTATTTACTTAGATTCAGGCTACTTTAGGATTGCCCGCGACCGTTTAGGTGGAGTAATCATGCTTGGTTTACCGTCTTAGTGACTGTAAGCCCAAAGATGCACAATGTGGTCCTGGTGAATCATCGAACAAAATCTGCTTCCCTGTCGGTTGCAAACACTGCCTCACCTATCGGCTCTACCAAGTGTTGCATTGAGACTGAAACACTGCTAAGACGGGATTTCAGCTCTGGCTCAGTTGCACTTTTAACCGACGAAACTGTGTCAAATGGCACTGGATGAGCACACCTCGCAAGCCCGTCCACACGCTCTCCTGAATTGTTTGTGAGCCGGTCGCTTTGTTTTGACTTGCTCGTGAAAAACCGTCTGAACGCTTCGGGTCCGAGTGTTCGGGACACACGAGAGGAAATCAACTTTCTTATCAGTCGTATAGCGTAGGTTCAACTTCAAAGAGCGTCTTCTTCAAACCGAATCGATCACGAGTGAATGGGCCTGGGAGTTGTGATTAACTCTCACTATTTGGCGCATTGTCATCGGGCAAAAGTGCAAATGAACCGTTGGTGAAAACGGGCTACACGACAACGTGTTCTGGCCTTACCTTAATGCCTCACCTGGTCCATCCGCGTTCATATTTGTCGGCTAATTATGTGAGCCAACCCACTTTGACTCTGCTTACCAATCACGTGACACACACACACACGCACTCGTACACATACGCACCATAAGCGTCTGTCGTCAGTGGTCGAGCCACACCAGCAAACTAACAGCACTTGTCACCGCACTACTGTGTGATCCGTCCACAGTGCATTCATGAACCCAACCTATCAGCGTGCTTGACCTTGTCACATGCGCCCGTTAGGCTTGGGCGACTAGGCTCAGACAAAATAGGTTACTTTAGGACCATCACGTACGAACGAACTCTTGATTACACCACGTTCGTTTATTTACGCATATTCGGGAAATCCTAATGTGAGTACTCTCCCCCTAACTGTCGATGTATGTTCGAATTTACTTTTGTGTGTGTACTAAATGTCAGTTAAACATTTGGTGAACCCACGTTATCCGTGAATGCCCACCCTAATGGTCCTGACTTGACTCATTTCGACCCAGCATATTTTTCGTCATGATGATGTTTGTGAATACGCATTTATCTAAGTAGGTGAATATCTGGCCATTTTTCTGTAATTTCTGACTTTGAAGACGTTGAAGCCATGTCAGGTGGTTCGAATACGTATTGACTGGTGTCTGAATTTCAAGGTAGCAAGCACTTGTGTGTAGTATTTCCAAGGCCGTTTTTTTAAGGAAGGAGGGCGTACCAAGATAAACGGGATGTATGTATGCTAGGGTGTGTGTGTGTGTGAATATCTTTAACGGCTTCATCAGTGCAACGATAGGAGTGCACATGAATAGCTGTAAGCATTCTGAAGCCGTATCAGATACACTGAAAAATAGTACAAGATGTGTCGGGGACATGATTTGGACCACCTGGATAATGTGTAATATAGTTTCTATAAGTTAAATTGCTCAATCCACATATTTCCTAATGACTGACGAATTTCCGCTATATATCAGGCAGGTCTATCCACGTGGAAAACTCATAAAATCCCTTTTTAAAGCAATGTTTGCTACCCAAACAGACTCATCTCAGAAAAATGATCGATATGTATATTGACTACTTTCAAGTATTATGAAGTGTCTCAATAGCTATAAACCAGAATACTAGATGTGTTTAATATATCAATATTCCAGATAGCCTTTGTATGGCCGCAGTCCTTTTCACGAAAGTTGACTGTGCATTTCTATATTCAACAAATAGAAAAAGGAAGTAAAAATACATTCACTGAAAATTCCCATTGTGACATGGAAAGGACAACACGAGTAGCGAACAAGCTCGTTTTCGATAACTTCACCCTCTGGCTAATGCAGCTATATACATTTAGTGAATAAACGTGCAGCAAATAATGTCAGAACGAAAATGCGTTGATTGGACGGCAAGGGAGTCGTGAGAAGTGGTTGGGAAAGAGGTGAAAACAAAAAAAACAAGTTGTTAGTCCGTGGGTTAGAATGGGGAATCGTGAAAACAGAGAAAGGAGAGGCAGGGGGAAAAGGGATGAAACAGGAAGGGTGAGGTCACACACTTAGGTCAAAGGGTCACGAGAAGTGTCATGGGTTAATTGACGTTCAGTGTCGGGTCTGGGCCAGGGTAACTGTAGGGCTTTGACGAATTGTTTTTGTGAGCATAGAGTTGGTCGCAATAACCTTATTGCTACCGCCTCTGGTGTCGCAAGAAGGCGTTATCGGAGGGTTTTGGGGTACCTTGTAGATAATTTTGAACGCATCCTCAGTTATCTGATATCCGGTATCTACGAGGTGCGCCGTGTTTGCACTCGAGACGATGCTTGTGGTTCCTGTGTTTAACCAATAAAAATACATTGTATTTCATTTTCCTAAGTTTACAAAGACATCTTATGATTTAGATGGTGAATGTTTGGATTAACCCATTCGGTTTTTTCACAGGCACCAGGCACTGTTGGTGATGTTCGATGTGGGTTTCACTCACGCACTGCTGACGAGTCCCAAACAGGACGAAACAGCTGTCCACTGCTCTTTGTTGGTTATCACAAACATTTCCATCGCACTTCTTATGATTTTTCAACAAGGATATAGCTGCCTAATACGTTGTAGGTACTTGCCAGTATCATTATGGATGCCTGGTTTGAAAAATCAAACGACATTTTCGTGCTCTTTCTAGATAGTACTAAACCATGTTCCCAACAGATCCTGTTGCATTTTCAGTCTGCGTCAGATAAGTTACTGGTGCGCACTACTTTCGCAGGACTGATGAAAATGTCAGAGCCATTAACGCATGTAACGAGAGAACATAATGAACGGTAAGCTGTCCATTGATCTGTATACACCGTGGTTTCCGGCATCACCCACGTTGCAGTGTAGGCAGAAGTGTTCAGTTCTGTTCTTACAACCATTAACCATGCACCTTCGTATGCCGGTTTGGTTGCTGTCTTTTAGTTGCCCATTTGGACAAAGCAGCAGAATGAAGATTGGAATGTTGAAAGCAAATTCAAGCGGAAGGTAGCACATTTTCATAGACTGAAGTTAGAAGAATAATGACTGGATGCACGAGCGCCACCGTTTGCGATACCCAGCCATACCAATCAGTATCTCTAACCATCGGTGACCATCATCCCGCGGTCTCCATCCAGGGAGCCTAACGGGACNTATGAGACCCAGTCTCCTGGTTAAGGTTTTCATACTCTCATGCCAGGTCTTAGTTTGACCATCCTTCATTGTTTTCCAACCGCTACCAGCCTCACCAAGCATCGTTCGCCGTGACAACCTACCTGGTGACATGCGTAACACATGTCCCAATCAACGTAATCTATGGAGGTCGATCACTTGCTCCAGTGGACGACCGCGATTACCTACAACTCTACGCACAACTTCAGCATTGCTCGTCGGGTTTCCCCACCAGACTCGTGCAATTCTACGTAGACAGCGGTGTTGGAACACTGACAGTCTATTTTCATCGTGTTCCCGTAAAGGCCAAGTCTCTGCAACGTAAAGTAGAACTGGCCGGACCGCTGTAGCATATACTCGATCCTTCACAGACAGCCGGATGTCGCGACGGGGCCACAGATGTGCGGATGTTGATCGATCTTCCACACGTAGAAAATAACCTTTCCGTAGCGTTTTATCATACACTTCTAACAACCATACAACCGACCATGGTCTTCCTCGTTTGTATTTCCTTTTTTTCTGAAACACTTTCGTCAATTTCCACTGTGGATTCAACGCTATCTACTTGTGTCGTCAGGGCGCATGTTACGGAGAGCCAGACTTCACAATGGAAAGTGTACAACTGGATGGCACTTTCCATTTTAGCTGCACGCGTGATTGTTTCCTGCATCAAAAAGTACAAGAATAATTCAATGAATGTAGACAGAGGCAGTTGGAAATTTTGGAAATAGGCGCAAATACGAATGGAGACACGCTTCTTGCACTTCGTACACCTGAAAACAATCATCCCGACTGTTATCAAACTCCCAAATGTGCATTGGGCGATCACACATACCTTCTCTCCTTTTGTTAACAAACCACGATCTTGTAGAGATCTGCCTCTATCAAAAGCAGAATTCGTATGGAGAGTCAGGAAACGACTATGCAAATCTGTTCTTGACGAACCCCGAGAGTTGGGAGAGATAAGGCCACTAAAATTCATGCCCGGAAAGACGCAAGATAGGGTTCCGGTTCGGCTGTGGTAGTAAATAAATGCTATACTGAACTGGAGCAGGCCAATTTACCACTGAGACCAGTTTACCTCTGCAAGCTGCAACACCCTGATCTAGAGCAAACGGTTTTAGCAACAGTAGCAGAAACTGTGGCCCTGCCAAAAAGCGGGGTGTCCACTAGGGTACTAAGCCCGAGGAAAAGATCCGAGTAAACTGTGGGCACTCTCCAGGGGCTCGGGAGGCATTGGTGTTTATGCACGCCAATGCATGTAGTGTTAGAAATAAATGGCCGTATTTTCTGACGATACGCAGGCCGGGGGAATTGTCCTCTCTGAAACATGGCTAACTCAGGACGATCATTTACCTGAACCAATATTAGGCCGGCTTACGATGCACAAGTATGATAGAAAAGAGGTGACAATGGGGATGAAGTAGCTGTCCTAATCACGAGGATGTGGTAAGGGGGGAGTGCACTCGGAACATTCAGATGTCCTCAGCCTCGTTCGAAGAAATTCTTTTTTCTAACCCAGTCAAGTCCTTGCATTCCACAATTGTTTAGTTGTGCAGCAGTATTTCGTGGTTTACGCGGTAAAATGCGTTGGATAAGTTCAAATACACTAAGTCCACTACATCACCGTGATCAACTGATTTTGTCTACTCTTCTCGGGCCATATCAGTGGTACACAATCGCCTGCGCCTGTATTTTCCAAATGACTCATCGCATTGTTCGCAACAATGTGTCCCTTAACTTTGGATTAGATGGGGAGGAGAGTGACTGGGTGGTAGTTAACCGGGTCACTACGACAGACACCTTTGTGTATTGGTGAAATTATTCCTTGTTTTTGTTTGTGGGAGCACAGTTTGCCGAACTTGCTTTGGAATAGTTCACTTAGTGCCTGAAACATGTTACCTGCCAGCGTGATGATGGTTTGCGGATGGATTTGACCTACCCCAGGAGAAGAATTCCGTTTCCAACACTGTAGCTTCTGTGCTATGATTTCTGCTTTATGGTTGTGAGACCTTGAGTTTGTGGGTAGAACTCATACGTCGTTTTTGACAATCGATGCTTACGTAATCTGGGGCAAGTGGGATGGAGTGAGTGGGTTAGTAACCGAGAAGTAGGTCGTCGGGTGTTTGAGAACGCATCGAACACGAACTCACTATCGCATCGCTTCGTTGGTTAAGACACGTTTTGCGTATGTCCGACGGTCGCCTACCGCAGCGCACCTTATTGGCGGTAGCCGTTGCAGACTGGAGAAAGCCACATGGAGGCCAGCAGATGACGTGGAAACGAGGCATGAAGAAATGCACAGAGCGATTAGGTGGAGCATGTGTCTCTCTTCTTCCGGGTTGGGATCCAAAAGACTCCGTAACCTCATGGTTGGAGACGCTGAAGGTCATGGCAACAAACCGACAGTGGTGGCGATCATGCTATCACTTCTTGTCAGACCAGAATGCTTGAAATAGTATGTATGCACAGCTGTACTGTGATCTGTGTATGTTGATCATAGAGGTTCGCCTTCTTTTCCCGTCCCTAAACATAAATCCAACCCCTATTCTCTTTATACATTATCCCTTATCTTGCATGCGTTATGAGTGGCAGTGTTCAGTGGATTTCACTTCGCTATATTACGATGTATAAGGATGATGATGATGATTTAATTTCTGAGGAAAAATCAATTGTAGTTAATTTTGGATGTGGTATGTGCCGCGATGATTCGTCCTCAGTATTATGTTGATTGACAACCCAGCTGGGTGGACCTGGGTTTGTTGAGTTGCTGTTTAGAGCAAATACGAGCGACGGAGACAGTCGCCAACTATCTGGATGTTCTGGATCACTGAAGAAGGGGTATTTGCAGTGGGTGGAAAACAGATCCACGGTCAGTCTTCTTTCAACCACACAGAAGTGAGTCGCACGGGGGACCACTATTCACTTAAACCAATGGGCGGTTCATAGACCATCGGCATCGTTGGGTTACATTCACATGTGTGTCAATCACTCTGACGGCTTTGTACACCGTGCGATCTGCGTTCATGTGAACAAGGTGGAGGCTTTCTGACGTAAGACAAAACGCCGGTTGAGTAATGTGTACGGGTCTTTTAGGTAGATGCTATGGGACCACTTGGATGAGGTTCAATATCAGACGTGGCTCAATATTTCATATCAAACATTCCCCACCAATGTAGAAACTTTGTTTGGCATTAGATACATGTATCCCTATTAAACCATACACTATAAATTTGTAAATTTGATATTATATTCATAATACATATTTATATAACTATGTTTACGAGTGTCTCATCATTAGTCTACTTCATATTGCTTATGCGTAGTCGTTGCAATAAGGCGAAAAATAGTCATTGGATGTAGTATTGGACACCGCCATTTATTTATTACAACCGCGTTAATATTGGTATATACGTATCCCTTAAGCTAAGCTGTCTACGTTTTATTCAGCTCAACTGGTATTGGGAATAATCAACTCAACTCAAACTAGTTCTCGTTATTTCACACAACAAAATGTTATGAACAAGGGGCGAGCACCACAAAGATGAAGATGTGTTTTTCAGTTATAAGTAATAGCCACCTAAGCCTTTTGGACTGTTCTGGAGTCCCGGTCCTTCTAAAGCACCCGTAGGGATATTCGGGATACTAAGTCGAGCGACAGCGAAGCTGTCTACATCTTACCAGCCTCTACAGTATCGGAAATGTTCTATGAATTCAAACATTTTCTGCTCATCTGTGAAACGAGAGATGATTTCCGTTCCGGTGCGATCGAACACAGCTTGTAACAGTTATAGTCAAAGGGTGTCAGTTTTACTCCGGGTGATAGGCGTCAACGAATGAATTCTTTCGTATGAACTGGAAAAAATATCTTCATTTCTAAAACACTGAACAGTATCAGTCATTAATGATTAAGATATTACGAAACGCGCATTATTTTGCCAATTGTAGTTAATGTTTTACAAATTATGTCCTCTTCTATCCAACGGATTCTGAACTCATTTCCCATTACAGATTATTAGAAACCTTGAAAAAAGTGTTGGAAATAACCTGTTCCTTTGGATGATTTTACGCGTCAATTCTCAGGCAAACTACCAAGGACCGTTCGGTGGCGTTCATTGAGCCCGCTGTTTCGAATTTGATTTGACCAGCATCTCCATAACCGAAATGTGTGCCATCAAAGTGCGAATATCCTTTATACTACCCACATCACCTTCGCTGATAGACTCCAGTCTTGAACTAGAATTCACATCTATCTTATTGAGAATGTTTGTGTGTGCGTAGCTCGCATTTCAAGTCTCAAGGCCTATGTTGTTAATTGTTGCACGTGAACGGTGGATTTTACTATTAAGCTTCCGTGAAACAGAGTAGCGATTCTCCCCTACTTCGCCCGAATGAGCCTGAAAGAGCATGTTTTATTCAGAATTACATCTTCGGGATAGTGTTGATTTCTTGCGAGATTTTGTGGTAATCCATTGATAGTTAACATTTACAAGAGGACTTCTGATTTCGCACAGTTTTATCCATTGGCCATGTATCCAGTCGGTGGAAAATCAACCCTTGAAGAAAAAGAAATATTCCATTGTCTACCATCATTCCTCCGTGGTAGATCATTAGAAACCTCGAGTGGGTGGTGATGCTGTATTCGGACAGCTGTTCGGTTCATTTTGCCTAAACGTATGCTGTTTAGTCAGTTGGTTGTTCTCTTAACAGGTTCCGTTTTTGTGTACGGCCGAGTCACTTCGTGTAACGAAAGATTTGTCAATAGAAAACCTATTGTGTTGTGTGTTCCGTGTGTGCCTATACCTCCACTTCCGATTTTGCTGAGTGATGAGAACGCATCTCCGATTGCCAAAAAGAGCAGTGTTTTCTCAGATTGCTACCGACTCATTTTACTCATTAAAGCAAACCATGCGTACGGATCGAGTTCCCGTACTACTACTATTCGTGTAGTCAAGATGTCCGAACGTGCGCGCATCATTTTGGGTGTAACAGTCTGGTGTGTCCTGTTCATACAAAAACGCAGTGAATTACGCACTTGATCTGCTGGTCGGGTAAGCACGTACACGTAGTCGGTCTGCAGACCAGTGAGTAAGCCGGGCTTCAAGGCACAAGCGGTTCACAGAACTTGTCACAATTGTCACATGACATCCGCGTGCAATCACGCAGGGTAGGTAAGCCACTAACGAATCAATATGTGCGGACAGTTCCTTCACAGTTCGCCTACACGAATTGACCTTGTCACAAGGTAGTTTCGTATCACGTGCGTGCGTACGAGCGTGATAACGGGCAACGTCAGCCAATCCAGCAATCAGCAATTACCAAACGTCCGCGGTAATCGAAGGTCACGACATTGTCCTTTGCTCCTATGTGCTCACACTTGTTCCCGTTCAACGTGCCTCTGATAGGTCTGATTTTACAAGCTGCCCTGATTACGTCCCCCCTCCCGAGTTTGTATTTTATATTTCGCCCCGATCGGATTCTGGCCATTGTGAATTTCTTTTGTAGCAGAATGGGTGTGCGTGGTCTAAGCGCGTACATTTCACAGGATCCGAACAGTTTTGTCAAGTATGAGTTACATAATACCTATCTGGTATTCGATGCGGAGAACTACGTCTATCATTGTTATCGGAATTCCGGTCTGGCTCGACAATTTGGTGGCGAGTACATGGATTTTGCTGTTTACGTGCGAATGTTCCTGAAACAGTTGCGTCGATGTCGAATCACACCCATATTTATATTTGACGGATGTCATGGGAAACAAGTACGTTGGTCGTTTACATTCGGAATGTTTCTTTCCGTTATTACCGTGCTATTTGTGATATATGGGTTATCTTATTTACATGACCTAGTTCTGGTCGCAATTTTTCCTCAAATAAGTTGTTTCATGGGTACGAGCACTCGTGAAAGCAAACTACCAGGTGGCATACAATTGCTTATTGATTCTGGTGCATCACTGAAACGATAAACCGCGCTGACACCAGGATCTACGGTTTTGGGGATTGGCCATCATAACACTATACGTTTTTCAATTCGAGATATCCGAGTATCATTTCAAGATTTCCGGTATTATTGGAGATGTCCGGGTATTATCCGAAGTTTTCTGAACATCCTTTCAACTTGTCGCAGCTTAACTTCAAGACATCCGAGTATCAACTCAAGCTGTCTCGTTGACGTCATCAGCACTGCTAACCCCATTTACTTTTCAAGCCTCATAGAAACGTCGAGATCACAACAATGAAGCACAGATTTAGTCAACCTCCGGTTGAAGTGCTCAGGGAAGGCAGTTGTGAGAGGTGCCTCAGTCGCGTACGCCCCAATACCTATGAGATGTTGGTTATTTACTATGCTAGCACGCGTACGCATCCGTGTGTGTTCGTCGCCCTCCCTCTTAAAAGTCATGTCAGGCCATGCTCCGCAGACAGCGATAGATCACGCGCGATCAACGTTTGATCCACTGCTTACGCTAGTCGCATGGCGTCGCAATCGGATTAAGAGTAAGGTGGTATGAGATTCACAAATGGTTATTTGCGAACTGGTTTTATTGTCCACGGAGATGGAGTGGGAGACGGACATACATACATACACACAGGGGCGCGTGCGCGTGCTAGCATAGCAAATAACCGAGATCACATAGGTATTCGGGCGTGTGCGACTGACGCACGTCTCACAACTATCTCCCCCGTACACTTCAACCGGAGGTTGACAAATGTGTGCTGCATTGTTGTCATCTAGATATCATTAAGAGGCTTGACAAGTAAATGGACCTATGCGGTGACCGAGACAGCTTGAAACGCAGGTGAGACATTTCGAAGTGATACTCATGGAACTTGGATTACAAAATGTATCAGCATAATGCTTGCGAACCGCGTGATTTCTGCATGCTACTTGTGTGTTTTTCGTCTGGTCACCAATGAATCTCGATCCCAGCAGATCGAATCTGAACTCGAGAAAGCGGTCAACGAATGTAATGGCCTTTACTGCTCAACCTTGTCTATTCGGTGCAGATAGCTCACTCGATTCTACCATGCGTATCTTAGCTACGAAATACTCGAAATCTTGTATTAGCCTAATCAATTTGGTGGTCGCTTTTGCATTGTTTGTCGGCTAATGACTCTTTATGCTTACTTTAAACATATACAGAATGTTTCCAAGGGGAAATTCGTCGTGTATATGTCAAATGAAATTGTTAGGGTAATACATTTAATGATTTTCGTCATGTAACTGAAGGGTAAGCTGAAAAGCTAGGAAGCACTGGACAGCTGTTTTGACTTGGTTGGATCTCATCATTAGTGCGAATCCATCGATCCAACTGGGGATCGAACCCGGGACATCACAGGCAGAACGCAAGCATGTATACAGAAAGGGAAACTAATTCTGTGGATATGTCAGGTGCAATTTGTTCATGCTCTTCTGTTGAGAACAATTGCTGTGAATGGCATTGGTTTTCTCCATTTGCCCATTTATTATCGAAATTTTGTAGACCACTCGAGAAGTTTCTTACTATTTTTTCTGTGCTGAGACTAAAGAGAAAGAGCGGATTTCAGTTCGTGTGATCTTGCATTTGCATGTGTTCCTTTCGGTTACGGTCTTTCTGAGGCGGAAGAAAGTAAATTTGACCGAAAAACCGATAACGGTATTAAGTTGAAGATATACTCTCACATTTATGCAAGCAACTCCTGCGTGCCTCACTGATGTTGTTGACCATGGCTGTCCAAGCGTGGCTTTCAGTGGTCGGCGCAGGGAGAAAGTTAGTTCTCATTCAAATTTCAGAAGCCGCATTTAGGCTTTAGATTAAACTGCTCCACATCTCTCACTACCGTAGTGATCCAGGTCTTCAATTGACCACCGAGTTAACAACATCCTCCGAAACACTGCGTTGGGAAGAGGGCTTTTATTGCGACGCCTGAGATCATGACTAAGCCACTGGAGACGACGGTGTTACATCAGAGTAGGTGGCTTACCATTTGCTAGCAGTGCTAGATGACTTCCTCGTACCAATTTTCCTTCCATGCTGATGTCGTCCGAAAGCGAAGGTCCGTGATCCAATTATCCGGCTCCAGTTGTACTCCGGGATACTTAGAGGGGGTACAGTTCATCGTCCAATCAATGCCTTAGTTGAACAGCGCCGGAGTCAGTTGTCTACCTTATCGAATTCCTGATTTCAGAGGAAACTGTGGAGACTCCTATCTATTGGCAGGTGTTCGGGTCTCTGAGTAGCGGGTCTTTATAAGTTCTGCGAGTTTCTCAGGTATGCCATCTGCCTTCATTATGTTCTGCAACATATTTCGGTGTACAGGATCACTGGGGATACAGAAATCAATGAAGCAGGTCTTGGTTAGCTGGCCACGTCGGAAACCGCCTTTAGCGGGTGCACGTGTTTCTTGCTGCTACGTAGGGCTTCCGCAGTATTATTGTGAGCAGTTTGCCTTAGGTCGATTAGACTGATCTCTCGGTAGCTCTCGCACACAGTCTTCTTACTTTTTTGCGAATGAGAAGCAGAAAAAAGATGACCCGATATTTAGGAAAGGTCTCCGTTTTCCATACCCCACGTGGTGGCGAACACACCGAGTTAGGCGAAACTAGAGTACAGGATTTGAGTATCTCTGGTGGAATACCGTCTTCTCTTAGAATCTTCCTACTCTTCTGTTTTTCAACTGCCCAGGTGACTTCCTCCCTATCTGGTGTCTCGCAGTTGACCGTGCACTGTTCACAGCGCTATGCAACCGCTGGGTGATTGGGTTGCCTAATCGTGCGATCCGATTGCCAGTCAGAGTACTAAACTCATCTCATCAATCTTTCTTCACTTCCCTGTACAAGGTAACTCCATTGGTGGTTTCTGCCCCAAAGTTAAACGAATGATGCAGAAACGTTTTCCGAGGTCTCGGACGCCTGCGGTGGCCTACATTTCGTCTGTGGTTCCTGATTGATATCTCACCCGTCCATCCTGGTGGTGTGAGTAACTTCACATCGAAGTGTACGAGAGTTGGGGGACTAGTGGAGCCGCTCCTTGATTTCCCTAATGAGCGGTTGAATTGTTTCTTCTGAGATGATGTCGTGTCGCATTGCTTGGATGCTCCAACACGGCATCCAGATAAATACCCTACTTGCCTGCTGTTCGTCCACCGTGTTGTTGCCTCGCATCTTCCCAATAAGCTTGTCACGGTTGTCATTCGTTGAGCGATGGACTTGGAAAACGAGGCCAAAACCCATTTGGTCTGGATGAAAGCGTCAGATCCGAGTGTTCGGCAAACAGGAGAAGAATTCTATTGTCTTATCCCGACAAAAACGAAAAGCAGATCGTTTCAAATGTAAAAAATGCACACGACGTTTTACTCAAACCGGTTCGGTTCCGAGTGGGAAAACGGGTGTAGAAAACCCTAGTGACTACAGTGGAGTTGATGAATATAATGAAAATCCTTCGGTCTTCAAAACCACACAGTTATTCATCCATACAACACGTTCTGTTTCGTGTTCCCTTCCGCACATTCCAATTTGTTCATGGTGTAGCGATGATGAAATCAGGTTTATCGAACCGTGTGGAATTTGAAAAATGGTTTAGTTCCACCACTTTTATTATGCACTCCACATTTTTATTATGAAAATATTCGCACTACTAGCAACATAAAACGCTGAAAATCGAACCAACAACGATGTATGAAGCCTCTTTGACTTGACTTGAAAGTTCACCTTGCTAACAAAAACGTCGTGCACGGTGTATTCTTCGTCTTCTATCTTCTTGAAGGGATTACCAGAAAAAATAGTTTATTGGACACAATCCCCAAACTGTTTTATGGGGATGCATAGGAAGAAGTTGCTTGGTCCATCCATGTATCTGTAATGATACAAAAATTGATTCACCCCTATATATGTGTTCATGGTAAATAGCTAAATTTGTCTTTTCAACAAAAGTGCGACCGGTAACTGGATCCACTCGGTCCCATAGCACCATTGTGAACTTTGAATGGGGAAAACATGCCTGGTATAACCGCACTAACTTCCAAGCCGTCCAGAAAAGCTTGTGAGTTACTTGTAAGTGAAATGTCCTGGACGAAAATAGTCATTGTGCAGTTCGTCAAGCAGCCCAATTCAACCAACCGTGTAAGAGCATGCTAACAGGTAAACAATACAATTCTGAGACAACCTCAAAGAGAAATGAGTCCAATATGGATTTCCTAGCTCACTCAGCCAACCAACTCATAATTGGACAGCAGTGATCAAGCGGAAATGATCACCAGTATATCGACCTGGAGGCGTTGAGTTCGAATCGAGCCACCGCCGCCAATGTTCCTTTTAGGTGTATTTCCTCTGATAGACTTTGATTGGATTCACAGTCATATCTTAAATTGACTGTGTTCTTGTTTATTCAATAAGTAATAAGTAAGTGCAATATTATTAATGACATTAGTATTAGGAAAAAAACTGGGATCCTCTGTCGATGCTGCGTGAGACATGTCAAGGGTTTTATGTCTTGAAGAATACACTATGGTTAAGACCAGTGATCAACTAAGGTGATTTAGCTCTAATCAATTCCAGATTGTATTCTTTGAATGATACACGAATACAAGGTAAAATTTCTCCTACACTGGATCTTTTCGCACGTTAGAATAACGGATACGGAATCGGATTGGTGTAAGAAAATTCGTTGAAATCATCATATTAATCAAAGCATGGAAAATCGTTTTATTCCCGAATTTTGTCTCGTACTCACATTCAATTTGGATCTGTGCACTTACCCCCAGTTCCTTTTCACCCACTTTTCTTCTTATAGGGTCTGAAGTTGAACACATTGCTGAAGCGAAGTCGTGAGCGCATCGTCGATTTGCGGAACTCTATTCAACGCTCTCAGCAAATTTCAGACGCAGATGATCTCGCTTTAATCACGGAAATCGCACCTAAACTGATGATTGCAGTGTTTTTGGATGTGCTTCGTGAGACCGGTGCCCTGTACACTTCATGCGAACGTGAAGCCGATGTACATGTGGCTGAATTAGCCTGCTTTTTGCATTGTCCTGTAGTCAGCAATGATTCAGACTTCTATATTTTTCGACCAAACTGTTCATCTTCTGACCCATCTTCGTCTGGTGCATCTTCTTATCCGTATCAATTGATTTCTTTGGTTTCACTCGGTCAACCTCATCGACTAAGTGGTCCTGGTTGTGGTCGCTGTTCTTCGTCGTCGGGTTGCTACGCCCTTCCCTGTTCCATGTTCCGTCCCACAGACTGTCCACTTGGGAAAATTTATCCGCCACTCTTACCTGTTTTAGCCACATTGATTGGGAACGACTTCATCTCAGCCGTCCAAGTCCCGCCTGTCGTGAGTCAGCTTATTTCGGATCCGAAGCGCTCCACCCGATTTCCCACTTACGCTAGAAAACGAATCGATGCCTTGGTTGAGTGGTTAGCTAGGTTTGGACAAGACACTATCGGTCCGATACGAGCTATTCTTGATTTGTATTCCCCCATTGAGCGTGAATCCATCGCGCGTCATATGCGCGAGACCACCCTAGACTATGTAGTTCAGCCGTGGGAAACTGGTCGTGAACTGGCGAGTCGGCTTCGTCTGTCCCAAAGTTCGACTGACCACTGCTCGTCACCAGTTATAAACTGCAGTGGCAGTCCCGCACCATCACCAGTATCAGTCCAGACATTTCATTCCACTCCTCAGACGTTGAATAAGAGGTCTGAGATTGCACTCAATTCAGCGCGTTCCGCCTGCGACCTATTGAATTCCAAACTGCCGCAGCTAGTCGATCTGATTGAAAATGTGTTACCCAAACCGGGGAGAAAGATTTTGTCAGCTATACATCGTGTTGAGGATGAAAAAATATCACACGGTTGGCCAGATGCATTGATCGAGATGCTGCAAAAGTGTGATCTGCCTGCTTCTGTTATGAACACATTGTACGTGCGTACTGGTAGTGTCCAAAATATTATGTTTGAGGACATGCTAGGACAATCTGAGTCAATCTATCACGTGCTCAATCCACTACGCCTGTTGTTTTATAATTTGCTTTTCGGGTTAGAACTTCATTGTCATACCACCCAAAAACTGTGCAGTGTTCAAAATAAATTGGTTGTTGAATATCGACGACATGGTGATGAAATGCTACCACGCTCATTTTCGCTGTCAGTTCTCACTGTTCCCCATTGTGATGATGTTCATTCCATTCGCAGTCAGTCGATTGGTTTCCTGTTGACAGAGTTAGGTTTACCAGGGATCGCGTCTAGTCATCTTTCTCCAGAACTAAAGCTCATTCAGACTGTGGTCGTCCTGTGGTTTCAGAACGCTCATTCCTCCCGCATTCTCAGTGCATCGGATTACCAGCTTTCGAATTTCCTCAGTTGTATCGGAT